CTGGGCTTTACACCCAAGACTAGTATTTTGCCATTGGGTTTTTTTTTTTTTTTTTGTAGTTAATTGGGGATTAAGAGTTTTACAGATAGACTTGGCTGCCCGGGCTGGTATTGAACCCCAATCAGATGTCGGCATCCTTTGTAGTTAGGGTTACATGTATGAGCCACCAGCCCACCCAACTCTTTTTTTTTTTTTTGTCGTGGGGCCTGAACTCTGGGCCTGGGCGCTGTCCCTCAGCTCCTCAGTTCAAGGCGAGCACTCTACCCCTTGAGCCACAGCGCCACTTCCAGCTTTTCTGCTTATGTGGTGCTGAGGAATTGAACCCAGGGCCTCATGCATGCAAGGCAAGCGCTCTACCACTGAGCCACCTTCCCAGCCCAATCACCAACTCTTTAAGTCATCTCTTAGATAACTTAATACCTCATCTGATTGTACTGACCTAATACATCAGTGTCCATAGTGTCTTCCATTGACTTTGTCCTTCTGTCTCCAGTGCTGTGCATTCCTTGTCACCTTCTGTGTGATGAATCTTCATGACACCTTTCCAGATTCCAATCTTAACAACTCCACCTGCTGCCATGGTGGTTTTTGTTTCATATTTCAACTTGCAATACTAAAATGATTTACATCTTAATGTCCGGAGTGTTTCTCATAATAGACATACATACATATAATACCTTGCCTGCTTTTAAAATCCTGTTTTACGTTGCATACCTCACCCCTCAGGGTGCCCTCCATTTACTTTCACACGTCACACACTGCTCCTCACTTGCTCATTGGCTTGCTTTCGTCCTCTTATAATAATGGTAAAGTCTTAATCTTCCGAAATGAAACCTGGTACCCAGTGTCTGCTGTCTCCATAGCCCCTGGTAAGTGTCTCACTGCTGTCTTTGAACTTGACTATTCAAAGACTGGAATGGTACAGTATTTGCCCTTTCCTGGCCCGTTTCCCTTGGCATGATTTCAAGATCCATCCACCCATGGCCAGTGTCAGTTTCCTTTCTGAACAGGACTGTGTGCTGCCATCTTCTGCTCATCCAGTCCTCCCTTAGGGGTACCTTAGTATCTCCCAGGGTTGACCGGTTGGAGAGAGGTGCTCTGTTGGTGCCAGCCAGTGAGAGAATGTGTCAGGCACTGCGTTTGAGTTTCTAGTCTTGGACCTTAAAGAAAGACAACTGGCCTGTAGAAATGAGTGGGTAAATACTTATGCAGATCTTCTGGATCTACACCCAGAGTTGCAGTTGTTAGATCTTACGCCAGTTTATATACCCAGATTGCAGTTGCTAGATCTTACGCCAGTTCATATACCCAGAGTTGCAGTTGTTAGATCTTACGCCAGTTCATACACCCAGAGTTGCAGTTGCTAGATCTTACGCCAGTTCATACACCCAGGTTGCAGTTGTTAGATCTTACGCCAGTTGTTCAATAGTGTAAGGAGCTGCCATACTCTGAGCTGCCGTCACATTTTACAACCCTACCAGTAAAGCCCAGGAGCTGGTTTCTCCAGCCCCCCACCGTTTGGGCAGGGCTTCTCACGAGGGACGCTCTGGGGTCAGAGGGGGGTGCTCCCACCTCAAGGGACAGACTGTGTGAGTGGAATGGCCGCTGGGAAAGCGAGTGGGGCGTGCCAGACCTGAGGCCCCCGGTTCCGTTCCCACCCCTGCACAGAGAGGCCAGGAGGCAGGTTAGCTTCTGGCCCTGCTGCAGAAATGTTTCCATTGTATCGATTCTCCCTGGTTTGTCCACCCCTCTGAGTCTTGGCCAAATCACTGCCCAGCTAAACGGAACTTTTGTGTGGAGCCCTACTTCAGCGAAGCGGGGTGGCTGCCTGCCAGGTTGGGGGGATCTCACGAGGCCGTGCGGCCTCTCTGGGGTTTGATTCAAATCAGATGGAGTGGGGGAGTGGAGGTGAGGCTGGACGCGGAAGGGAGGAGGAGGCCACCCAGGAGTCAGGAGGGCGGGACTGTGGACAGGACCCAGGGACAAACCAACCCTCCCCACAGCGCAGCGGCGAGCTGGAGGGCTCCCTCCCGGAGACAGGTAAGCGTTGCCTCTGCTAGGTCAAGGTTCCAGTTGGTAGGAAGACTCTCCTCCTGCAGAGAAAGGCCTCCCGCCTCCCACCTCCCACAACCGAGGGGGCGGGAGGGAGTCCCCTGCCTGCCAAGGGCATCCTGGGTAGAATCCAGGCCGGAGGGCATGGTACTTCTGGGTCAAGAAGTCACTTGTGCTGTGCAGGCCAGGATCAGACACCCGACCCAGCGCCTCAGTGTGAGCTAAGGGCACGTAGCAAGCACACAAGTCTTGGGTCAAGCGGGCAAGGGGCTACCTGGACCACACGTAGTTGGCCTCCCACAATCCCCGTTGGGTGGGGACTCAGGTGGTAAGCGGCAGTAACCCAGGAGGCATGCTGGGACTTGTACTGGGCAGGATCCCAGAGGGGGACATGACGCCAGCCTAGATGCCACTCAGAGGCCTGAGAACAATTTGTAACTTACCCAAGGTTGGGGAGAGAACACCCGTGCAGCAGGGAAGGATGCGGGGCTGGGAGGGGTGGGCAGTGCCGGCCTGGCAGCTCTGCCCTGGAGGGGCTCTGGGGGGGGGAGGCAGGGGACTTGGCTCTTCTGCCTGCAGCGCAGGAGCCAGGCCCGCCCTTGTATTACTAATTACTACGTAGATTGAATTACTTAAGACAGATCCTAAGCCCACATTCTACCACTCAGTACCCTACACACAAAAGATAGAGGTCTGGGAAGGTGGCTCAGTGGTAGAGCGCTTGCCTCGCACGCATGAGGCCCTGGGTTCGATTCCTCAGCACCACATAAGCAAAAAGCCGGAAGTGGCGCTGTGGCTCAAGTGGTAGAGCACCAGCCTTGAGCTGAAGAGTTGAGGGACAGCACCCAGGCCCAGAGTTCAGGTCCATGACTGGCAAAAAAAAAAAAAAAGATCAAGCTGGAGACCCCAAAAAACTGCTAGGCCCCACTAGTTTTCTGCACTAGGTTGACTAGCTCTGTGGAAGTGAGCGGCCTTGGGGCGTCGTCGGAGTGGGAAGGTAGGCAGAGTGGAATGTCAGTCTCTCCTCCCATCAGTGACCCTGACCTGCTCCCCGACACAGATCGCCTCCTGAGAAAGCCATCTGTGCCAGGCTCCAAAACACAACCCTGACGCACCTGCCTTGTTCCCGAACGCTGAGGGCAGGCGTGGAGCACACGCCTAAAACCCAGGCAGCCGAGTCTCCATACCAAGAACCTTCTGCTAACCTTCATTCTGCTTCTTGCGTGGCCCCGGAGCCCGCCCTCCACCCTGTCAGGTTACCAGAAGGCCTTTCACACAGAACTTCTCAGCGGGTTCGAGAACAGCTGCCCTGGAGATGACCCTGCATTCGGGCTCTAGTGTGGGGGTGGCAGGGCCCCATGTTGCCCCTGGTAGTCAGGTATCTGGCCCAACCTACTGGTCAGCTGAGCGCCTCACCCTGGCTAGACTGGTGCTCTAGCAGGTGATCCATGCCCCAGGTCTACTGCTTGCTGATTATGTGGTAGATGATGTCAATTTCTGAGGTTGGTCTTGAGAGATTTCCATCCCTCCAATCTCAGCTTGAGTGGCCAGAATTGTAGGTTACCACTATTACAGTTGTGTGTGTGTGTGTGTGTGCCTGTGTGCGTGCGCATGCACTTAAGATTTTTCAGCCCAGCCGGGCGCTGGTGGCTCACGCCTGTAATCCTAGCTACTCAGGAGGCTGAGATCTGAGGATCGAGGTTCAAAGCCAGCCCGGGCAGGAAAGACCGTGACTCCTATCTCCAATAAACCACCAGAAAACCGGAAGTGGCACTGTAGCTCAAGTGGTAGAGCGCTCGCCTTGAGCTGAAGAGC